TCAACATTAATAATAATAAGAAATGTTTCTTGAGCAGCAAATCAGCATATTAGAATGATTTCTGAAGGATCATGTGACACTAGAGACTGGAGTAATGATGCTGAAAATTCAACTTTGCCATCACTGGAATAAATTACATTTTAAAATATATTAAAATAGAAAACAGTTATTTTAAATTGTAATAATATTTTCACAATATTAAAGTTTTTCCTGTGTTTCTGATCAAATAAACACCTTGGTGCACATAAGAGACTACTTTGGAAAAAAGTCTTATAAAAAAATCTTACCGACCCCAAATTTTTGAACGGTTGTGTGTATGTAGCAATATGTGTGCTTCCAATCCATAGAGACTGCATTAAATATTTCTTTCTTAATGCTTCAATGTAAATCTTCAGTGTTTTGCTGAGCCTAAATAAATTAGTATTCACTAATTTCAATATTTCATCCTTACAGAAGCGATCTGATTCCAAGCCTACTCCTGACCCAAAGGCCTGTAACTGGAAGAAGTACAAGTATATTGTCCTCAATCCTCTGTGTGCCACACTTGTAAAGGAGGAGGGGCCTGGAGAGGAGCGGCAAGCACAAAGTCACACCCCCTTTGCCACTGATAAGATGGAAGCCTCATCTAAAACAACAAATAACATTTGGACAGGGGAGGAGCCTGGACTGAATAATAGGTATGTTTTGTCCCTTTTCACTTAATCGATTAAAGAACTTCTGATGTAACTGATTAATAATGTATTGTTATGTAGGAATGTAATTTTCAATGTAATGTATTGACCATTGTTCTGTTTCCTCTAGGAAAACCTTGTCTCTTCCAAATAACACATCACAGCAAAAAATATACTTTAGTCCCCATCATGTTGTGGACAGCAGTTTGCAGCCCCTGCCCCTTCCAATCAGTGAGAATAAAGGTCAGTGAGCATCTCTTAGCTTTACAATTGAATACATGTGCGTACAAAAATACACAGACTGATCTGATCCTCTTCATTTCATCCTCTTCATTTTTAAAAGGTCTCTGCAGTCCTTATGTTTGCACCCAAATTGCCAATCCGAGTCATTTACTGGGCCAACACCCAATCAAGTTCGAGAACCTCTCTATACAGCTCAGTTACCCTGGAAACCAAGCCACAAACACAAAACCTTCCAGCTCAGGTGAGGCTGCTGACTCAACAGATAATGTTGGCTGAACTTACTTACAAATTAAGTTAACTTCCAGTTGCGATTTGTGAGGCACAGTCACTTCGTTTGTTTAAATCGTTCTCATTCATTTAATCTTTTATGTTCCCGCTGACTCAGGAGACAAGCCTTACCGCTGTAATGTGTGTGGAGCACAGTTCAACCGGCCTGCAAATTTAAAGACTCATTCCCGCATCCACTCTGGAGAAAAGCCCTACCGCTGCGACACATGCGGAGCCAGATTTGTCCAGGTACATCTGCACAGAATTGCATGTATCCTTCTTATTTCTATCTATCTATCTATCTATATATATATACAGTATAATAAAGCAGTAATTGGGACAATAATTTATTAATAAATGAATTATTTATTTATTTATGCACACACACACACACACACATATGCATACATATATGTCAAAACAAATAAACAAATGCTGATTTATTGTCTTTTTTATCTCTATTTTTGAAAAGCATCAATAAAAAGAGTTCAACTAAAATGATATTCTTGTAAAATGTGTATGTGTGTTGTAGGTAGCTCACCTGCGTGCCCATGTTCTGATCCACACTGGGGAAAAGCCGTACCCATGTAACACCTGCGGAACACGTTTCCGCCACCTGCAGACGCTGAAGAGCCACCTGCGCATCCACACTGGAGAGAAGCCTTACAGCGTCAGTTATATTTTAACACGTATATTTTAATATCTAATATATATACACAACTACTACACACCTCTCTCTACTGCAAAATGATGTTGAAATCTCACTCTCTGCTCTAATCTTTTCTTCCAGTGTGAGAAATGTCACCTGCACTTCCGTCATAAGAGCCAGCTGAGGCTTCACCTGAGACAGAAACACGGCGCAATCACCAACACCAAGATCCGCTACAAGGTTCTGGTTGACCCGTACCAACCCGGGCCCACACTGCTACAAGCTTGCTGAGGGGCATGTTGAAACATCTCAGGCACCGGTGCTATATGTGCTTTCTTCAGATAGGTCAAGATCTAAACTGGAGATTTAGGCTGAAGATGGATCTATAAAACAGTATTGTAAAGAGTTTAAAGAGGTGGAGTGCTGCATTCGAGGACAGCTTGACTATAATGAATGTAGTCTTCCAAGAATGCAGTACTCCTGCACTAGATGTGCTGACTATTATCTTTATTATTTGTTCAAATATTATTATTTATTTTGCTTTGCATACTTTATGTTCCTCATGCTATTTAATCATAGTTTATGCTGTTGCAAAAAAAAGTATTTTGTTGTCATATTGGCCACTTTTTCTGTGGCAGGAAAAATGGTGAAAATCATTGTCAAAAAAAGTGTAAAGCCCTATTCAGATGGTAATTGTTCCCCTGGGGAATATCATATCACAATATGATAAACAATTATTGTCCAAATAAGGCTTAAGACAGTAAAATGAAGCATGTTAGGCCTATTTGAAAATACTTCAGTAGATATGGAATGGTTTTTTTTTTTGCTCTTAAGACTTAAAGATGGTTTGTGGCAGCGTGTGAAGACGTTTATTACACGTTCAGATTGGAAGTGTAAGAGCTGAATGAAAGTAAAAATGATTGGATATATGGAATTCTGCAAGAAAGTAAGAACGATTATGAAAGGAAGATAGATAAAGAAGAAAGGAAGTGTAATGAAGGAATTAAGCATGTTTGAGAAAGAACAGCTAAAAGATACATTTGTATGATTTTTTAAATTAATATGCTGTCATTTTATTTATTTTGTTTGTTTGTTTGTTTGTTTGTTTTGCCCAAAAGTATTGCTCATATTTGTTCATGGATCCTTTCTGGTGTTTGTACTATATTCTGTTTCCTATTTAAGAAGATAACAGAACAACCTGAATGGCAAACTCAAGTATAACCTCTTAATTGCTTATTTACCAGTTATTCAGTATATCAGTATACTAATTAAAAAGGCCTGGAGCCTATTTGTATTTAAGTAAGAAGAAAGAAAGAGCATTTGTAGACGATTAGCCTCTCAGTGTATGTTGAAGAGACCATTTCATGATTTTTATGGTGTATTATAGTTGCTGAGAGTCCAAGCAGGTTGAGGACTCACACTAGCCAAACTAATATACATGTAAAGAGTGATGATGATGATGAGGATGAGGATAATGATCAACAATATTATGTTGTGCTCTTTTGCTGGACAAAGACCTATTTTATATAAATTAAAGTTAAATTAATTTCTCTTAATTGTGTTTGTGTTCGTCTGTTACAGTTTTAGTATCATGGCGACTTATTTTTTTATGTATATTTTCTATTTTTGTATTTTAATTTAGTTCAAGTTTTAGTAATTTTGTTATGTGTTGATTTTTTAAACGTTTATATAGATTTTATTCCTTTTTATTTCAATTAAACAATGAATATGAGAAATGTTGCCTTGGCAACTAGATTAAAAATAAGTTTATGAGTTTTTATTCCAATTTTTAAAATGATGTTTATGTTATTTTAAATAACAAAAATATATATATATTTTAAGGTTTTGGTTTTAGTTAACCCTGGCCAGCTGTTCTCATGCAATCCTACTTCTTCAAAATCACATGAATAGTGAGAGTTTCTCAATTGTGGAACTGGTTAAACCTAAAAGTAGTAAATCAAGGCACTTATTAAGTATAGTGAAATGTTTCAAATCTAAATGCAATGCCTGTGTGATTCTTGGAGCCCAGAAGAACAAAGAATTCACCTCTTAGCCCTTCCTTCCTCTGATTAGCTCACAATGACTCACCCGATCAGACCCCTGGACTCACCCTAAAGTGTCTCAGCTTCTCTACGGGTGGTGCTGGAATAAGAACAAAGGAGCAGCTGGCACCTGTTTCCGGCCTTAGACAAAAACTGACCTCATGCACACATTACCTGTCTGTCCATAAATGTGTAGTTCTGTATGGAAGTTTTCCTCTTAGGTTGACCTAGGAGCACCACCCGCTGTTTCTTATTTTATCGATGATCAAACACTGAACCTGCTCTCTGACATGTAGTTCTGAGGTTTAGTCCTGTTCCTGTTTTCATCTGCTCCCGAAGGCAAACATGTGGCATGTGGAGATCATTGTATGGCATATTAACTACTATAGATCACAGCTCAAAGCATTTGTCTCATATAAGCCACATACATGCTAAAGTTGTATAGAGAACCGAACTAAACAACTATCAACATCAAGTAGGTTAAACTTCTTTATATGTATATAGATAGCAATATTGTGTTTATTTCTAAGTGTATTATAAACTAGATTTTATTTATTATT